ATTTTAGTACCTTGTTCAGGCTACTGTAAGTGGATTCAGAGCACGAGAAGTTGTAGAAAGCTTTCTGCCAACTATGCCAAAGCAGTTGATAGTCTAAAAACTTGGTTTGGAAGAGATGAACTTTTGGTAGAGGTTTATGTTTGAGAATTGTTAACACTGCTAATTTTGGTCTACAAGTATGGAAAAAAAAAAAAAAAAACCTGTGACATTTCTATGTGATAAACTCAAATCATATTATCTTAGAGCATTAGAGACACTGGGAGTGACTACTGTCAAATGTGCTTCACTACTTTATCGTATGGTTGGATCTTCTTTAAGAAAAGAGGAGGCATTTGACCGCAGGAAGAGTGCTTACGGCTGCCAGTTTACTTACTACATCTTCAATGGATGTGAAGAGAATTTTTTTTTCCGTGGAAAAACCCAAGCAGAGACTGTTTTTCTGCTCAAAACACGAGCAGAGTATTTTAGAGATAAGCAATGCTGTTTAGCATGCGTGACAGATGGACATCCAGTTCATAAGTGCAGAGTGCTTCTGAAATGTGTAGTATGTTTTTTAGTATGTGGTAAAAACATGTGCCACTTATATGTGATACTTTAGATCAGGAGTGGCCAACCTTTACGGGAAGACTGCCTCTAAAAAAGTAAGTTGTGCATGCCACTTCCAAGTTTTCCAACATATTAAAAAATATAAAAAGGTAAAAAAATGTTATTTATAGGCTGATTATTGGATTTTAATGCAAAAACCACATTTTTATTATGTTAGTCTGAGTAGCAAACAGTTAAAAAATAATATAATAAATAAAACGAACGTACAAACTAGGGTTTTATTGTTGTTAAACATTTGGTACTCTTCTGTTTTGCCGGCGCAGGCGATGAAATCGCCAATAATGGTACAACTGATGCCAAACGGAATATCCTCGCTTGTAACCTTTTACACCTCATTTTTCAAAACAAGTCGCAGACATTTCTTATCAGATTGATTGTTTCTTTCAATACTGGCATATAATTACATAGAATTTTTACCAGATAGTTGAGTTTTATGCTGTAAGGCCACTCGCAGTAATTAAGTCAACTAAGATGTCATCACACCGCTCACCCGAAGGCGAAAGTATAAAAAAGGCAAAGTCAAGGGTTAAATTCATCAATTCTAATGAGAATGCTCAAGCAAAATAAAGCACTGCGGTTTTACATAAGCTATTCGTATGAATTGAAGTAATTCTTATATTTAAACTTGTATTCCAAATTAAGATTTAACTTGAAATTAATGTAGATAATTACTGAATTAGATTTTTGTAGCGTAGTTTACGTGAGATGAGATCACTTGTGGTAATGTGATTCGAACCGGCGAATCAGAATGTTGAACTATGAAAGCATAGTAAATTCTTAAACTAATGTTATTTTACAAATTTATTGTCTTTATTTATTGGCGTTTTACAAAATTTTAAACAATATTAAAATTTTTATGCCTTCAACATTAAAAATTCTTAGAACTAGCATTTATTAAAATTTTTTATGTGTATACTGTATGTTGTCACCAATAAAGTCTTCTTGGCGAGATTTGCGGCGGCGAAACGGAAAAGTACCAAACATTTTTAAAGGTTCAGTCAGTTAGGTTATGTATAAAATAAAAATGAATAATTTGAAAGACTTAATTATTAATAACTATTAAGCAGTCGATACATACTTAAATGTAGTTTTTGAATATGTAGTTTTCTTTTAACAAGTCATGTATATTAGGATTAGTTCTTGAAGATGCTAACAAAATGTTATAGTTGCATATCAGTTAATCCTGAACTATATTTTGATTTTATTGTGTTCATAATAGAAAACATTTTATTCACATAATATGTTGATCCAAACCTACAGCAGTATTGTGATGGAGTGTCGCTATAGTGAAATAAACTTAAAGTAAAATTCAAAGAGCTAAATATATATATATATATATACGGAGTTGACTCTTGACGGAGTTGACACAGACGATATTATTATTTTTTTCAAAAAGTCCGAGTGTGTAGTAGCCTGAGTCAAGGAACTAACTTTAGTGAAAGAGTGTAAGATTCCATGGAGACTTGTCTCAGGTCTATTTGAAGGCTGCCGAATAAATCTACACTGTTTCTATGATGCCAGTGAAGTTTCCTCTGCTGCTTGTATTTTCTTACGTTCTGACTTTAATGAGAAGATTTCAGTCAAGTTAGTAACGAGTAAGTCAAGCGTGGCAAATACCAAAGAGATTATAATTCCTAGATTAGAACTGTTGGGAGCATTGATCTGATCAAGACAATAAGGTCAGGTAGTAGAAAGACTTGAATTGAAAGACAATACAATGTATTTTTGGACTGCTTCAACTGTTCCTTTAACTTGAATCAAAAGAGAGAGTTCTTGAAATACATTTGTAAGAAACAGAGTCATAGAAATAAGAAAGAATACCTACCCGAATGACTGGCATTTTGTGCCAGGGTATATGAATCTAGCAGGTTTGCCTTCAGGAGGTTGTGGTGCTAAGAATTTATTGAAAAGCTAATGGTGGGAAGGTCCAGAATGATTATGGAAGTCACAGGAATTCTGGCCGTCAAGAGAAAAACCAAGTCATTGATGAAAATTTGGTTGAATCGGAGGAGAGAAGAACGATAGTCAGTAATGTGGAGCATAGATCAGTTAACTTCACTGACAATTTACTTTATTTCTCGAAATATAAGAAGATTCTTTGAATGCTTACCTGGATACTTCGTTTCATTAAAAACTGCCGACAAAAAGAAAAATTTAAGAAAACTAAGCTGAGCTTAAAACTGCTTGCTAAAATTAATTCAGCAGGAAAGTTTTGCCGGAAGAAAAATGAAAATCTTGAAAAACATGCAGACTTTCAGAGATGAAAATGATATTGTTCGATATAGAACAAAGCTTCTTTTGGGAGATGAAGAGGAAAATTTCAAGTGCCTCATTTTATTGGCCAGAAGCCATGAGATTATTCATCGATTGGTAAGGCAGAAGCATTGTGAACTACAACATGCACGACTTCCAACTCTGATTGCCAATTTAAGAGAAGATTACTGGATTATTTCGATCAATAGATTAGCAAAACAAGTTAGCTTTAATTGTATTTCATGTAAAAGATTCGAAGCCTAACAAACCGACACAATCACATTTTGCACCTCTTCCTAGGGACAGAATAAAGGCTGCTGCAGTTTTTGAAGCTTCAGGGATTGATCTCGCAGCTTTTTTGTATTTATGTTCTGGTGAAAAGAAATGGATTGTACTTTTTAGATGTGCCATTTAGAGGGCACATCTAGTTAATTACTTACTAGTTAATTACATCTAGTTAATTACTAACTTGAATTAGTTAATTACCTGTCCACAGAAGTTTTTATTATGGCTTTAAGAAGATTCTTTGCTCGAAGAGCTAGAGTAAATATAATCTACACTGATAATAGTACAAACTTCATTGATTCAAATTTAGATTGGGAGATGATCATTTCATTTTCCACTATCAAGAAAATCAATTGGAATTTTAACCTTCCAACAGCCGCATGGTGGGGAGGATGGTAGGAGCACATGATTAGAATATTGAAAGAGATGCTAAGAAGAATTTTGGGCAGAAAAAGTCTTGACTATGAAGAGTTGGAAACTTATTTTATGGGACTGCGGAGCTACAATAAACTCTAAGCTTCTTTCATATATTGAAGACAATTCCGAAGGTCTGAAGCCATCAACTCCTGCTTGTTTCTTACAAAGTATTCCTAACAGTGAAACAATTGATTTAGACGAAATTGACAGTAAAAGCCTAAATATAAGATTGTATTTTGAACAAAAATTAAGGCAGGATTTAAGAATGAGATTTCGGAATGAGTATTTAGCAATGTTGAGTCATAAAGGATTATTCATTTATGGCAAAGCACACGAGGGCTATCTGTCTAAAGGGAGGAATGCCTTCGTGGAGGACTTTCTAAGGGAAACTGGCTCGTATACACGTTACACATGGGGAAAACGCCCATGCAGCCAGCCCGTTCGTGGGATTCGAACCTCGGACCATACTACCAATGTTCAGCGTCTTTACCACTCGACCGCTGGTGGGCTGAGTCATAAACGTAAGAGTTGGGGAAGTTGTTCTAGAAACTGATGGCAAGTGTATCAGCTGGCCTTTAGGAATCGTCATTGAAGTCTTTTCTGGAGCAGATGGGCACTCAAGAGTCTCCAGAGTGAGAACAGCTGATGGAGAGAAGTTGAGACCATTCCAAAGATTTTATTCATTAGAAATCAACTGTTCAGAAAAGTTACCAATCATTGCTCAAAATACTCAAAGGGCTGAAAGTGCCTCTATGAAGACTCCGCTACGCCCTGCAACTAATGATTCAGATTCCAGTGAAGATGATGATTCATCAAAGTCCCAGATTTTGTCACTAGAGCTGTTCGACATGTTAAAATCCCCAATAGACTTGATTTATAAGTTTTGTTGCAATTTATAGGTATTCTATGAATTGCAAGGTGGGAGGTTGTTTGAGTAATATCAGCTACAACTCCGTTTAAGATTTTATGTTTTGAAAATAAGCTCTATCATTTTTGTAAATATACTGCTTCTAAATTTTGTAAATATGTGCAATTAAAGTATTTTTTCATATTAAATCCATAGTTATCTTCGAATCTTTTAAAACTCATATTGATATGAAGTTGACAAGTCTTGCATTAATTATTGCAACTAAACAAGTCATTGCAACTAAACAAATTGCAACTAGTCATTGCAACTAAACAAAATCTTTAAATATGTTAAGTTATGTGTAATGTTGACTTTTTCAAGGTTGAGATGGTGCAGTTGTGTGGATTTTGGGAAACTAGTATATATGATTTTCAATAAAAGTAAGTGTAAGTCACATTGTAAATGAAAATATAATTTTAGTATTATGATTGTCCAGTAATATACATTAATAATGTAGTTAAATGTAATGGTCTTTGTTCACATATGCATTTAATATATATATGCATATTAATTTTTCTTTTTCTTTTTCCAGACCTTTCACCAAAAGGAGATATGGATCTGAATGAGTCAAGCCTATCATTTATTTCCAGCTTATCATCTGGTAAAGATGAGGATTCAGTTATTTTACCTGATACTGTGAATGTGGATGTCAATAATCACATCATTAAAGGAAATATGATGAAAGCTGATTCAGTAGATTGTGCGCAAGATATATTCAGCATAGCCTTTGATAAAACTGGCTTAAATGCAGAGCAAACTGATAGTTTAATGAACACTTTATCCTCTGTAGAAAGTACTGCCAATTTACAAGACTTTGCTATTGTAAATAATTCTGATCTGACAACAAGTGTTGTGCAAACCACCACCTCTAATTTTATCACTTCAGTACCCTGTACTAAAACTGCTGATTTACCATCAGCAAAAGTTAATGTTTCAAATCTAAATAAACCTGGTGCAACTCAAGTTCTTATTTTTCAAAAACCACCTGGGAACTTATCTACTATGCTTGTTGGAACCAAAAGTGTTCCTGTTGCATCAGCATCAAATGTTGCTATTGTACAGACTTCAACAGGTGTTGCAAGTGGTACCAAAATTTTAACATTACCAACTCTAAACACTTCAGGAAATGTGATTAATGCAGTAAATCCAACATCTGCAGTGAAAACTAATGATGTTAAAATTTTATTAAGTCAGGTGCCAGGAACAGCATCATCTTTTGTAACTGCTAAACCTCTTGTTTCAACAAGTAATGCCAATTCAGGGCTTCAGGGTCCTTTAAAGCGGGCAGTAACTCCATCAACCAGTGGGCAGATGTTTACAAAAGTTATCATCACTAACAATACATCGTCCAATCAGTCACTGGTAACACCTGTTCCAGTGTCAGCTACTGCTACGACACCTATTGCTGGAACTCAGCCACAATCGATTTTATTAGCAAGTCCAAATAAAACATATACACTTTCCAGAAATTTAGTAAATATCAGTAGTTCTCAACAGATTCTCAAAGCAGTTCCGGGTACACCTCCAAAACAGGTATGTTAAAGAATAAAATTGCTTTTTATATGAAAGGTATTTTATTTCATTAATGCTGGTAAAGATTTTATTTCAGTGGCATATCTTGTATTCAACATCTGGGCTATCACAGCTCCTTCTTTTCAATCAATTAATGTTTTTAAAAACTATACATGTGTAAAAAACTATACATGTATAAACTATACATGTATATACTTGAATAAACTTTTTTTTTTTTTTATAAATTTAATTAATGGTGAGCTTAAAAAGTTTTAAGAACACTTTACTTACTTAAATGAGTTATACATATTCGAGTAAATATTAAAATTCAGATGGTACTTTGTGATTATATTCGCCCTCATCAAAAAGTTGGAACCTTGTTGCTAACTTTGGAGAAAAATATTTGTTAATGTATCTTTATGTCTAGTTTAGTTCAGCAATGCATCCAATACCACCAATTTTTTTTAACGTTATTTTTCTATGCAGGACAGGCACATTTTTCAGTTTTTGTGCTGTTATTTTTTTCATGTACACAGCAATCACTTTTCTCTAAAAAATATATCGGAGAATTACACAACCTTGACACCAAAATCCTAAAATGAGAAGGAAAAGAGAAATGTACGATGCCTTTAATTGAGTTACATTATGTTGTATGTGGTATTACTGTTGTATGCAGAAAGCCGAATCCAAGATCTCGACAAAGACAATTAAAACTGGTGAAAATGTAGGTGTGGAAAGGCATTTGGGGGATGATGCATAAATACTTTTGGGAGACATTGTGGATTGTTGCATAAATACTTATTGGCAACAAAGTGCAACATCATTAGTATTTTTCAATGAAGGTGCATATAATCAGATAATACCATTCAGATTTATCAAAAAAATTGTTAAATTAAAAATGTTAAGAACCTACCAAATTCCGTGACTGAATGTAATAATTAGATTTCATGTACATTGTAATGTTTTTATAAGTTGAGATCTTGGATTCTATATAATTTCTAAATGCACATTTTTAATTCAAGACATGAAACAAACAAATTAAATAATCTTAATGAAGTAATGGTATTTCCATCAATTTTTTTCATTGTCCAAATTGTTATTTTCTTCTATATATTTTAAGTTAGATTAGTTTTGTGTGTGTAGGTGAGAGAGAGAGTGTGCATGTGTATGTGTGTGAAGAATGGTTGACAGTGAGTATGTTAAATTACTGGAACGGTCTTATTCCTGTTTCAGTTGAAAGAAAACTTTATATTAAACTTTATATCATAGACAAGAATTTGTTATTTATAAGTCTTTTTTTCAATGGGAGAAAGTGTAGATCACATAAAAAATAACATCACATTAAAAAAAAAAAAAAAAAAAAAAAAAAGGAGTTAACTTAAATATCATATTAGATCCATACAATGCAAAGCTAGAAGCCAAAAGGGGAGAAAAGTACTTTTGCACTTTGTAAGATTTGGTTGAATCTTCACTTTTCTTTGTAAAAACACTTTTCATAGTGTTAAATGAGTCCCTCCTTCCTTTTACATTGTTTTATCCAAAACTTGCTCAGTGGTTAGTTTTCATAGCAGGTAGTAAAGATAAAAGGCCTAAATTACAACTGAGTTCTTTATTTAAATGAAAACATGCCAGCAGTACAGATTTTTAAATATCAAATTATTTTACCCTATTATTTTGCTTATAATTAAATTATGGTAATTATCAGCATTATAGTATATCTTTGTTTAACATCCAGCCTAGCTACACTAGAATATATGCCAATGATTTAACTCTCATTTGCAATTTATGTATGAGCAGATTGATATATTTTAAACACTTTTGTGCCCTCTTTCTTGTATAATTTATGCATAAACATCACATCTTCTTAACAATTTTGTGTTTTGCTAGCGGCTGAGCAATTAAAATCACTGAATACTGGTGTTTTAACATGGGTTCAAACCAGGCAAACAGGCTGGCTGCATGGTTGTTTTTTATATTTTTTTCCCATATTCAACTGGAATATGAGCCAGTTTCCCTCCATGAAGACATTCCTTCTGTTAGGCAGATAGCCCTCATGTGTTCTGCCAAATTCAAATAAATGAATGTAACCTTTAACATTTTTGTATCGACGTAGTGTAAATACACATATTTCCTTTTTTGTTTTTGGCCATCTCTCTTTTAGCTTCATTAGTAATAAAGTTGCAAAATGTTGAGCGCTTTCTAATTAGCTGTACTGCCACGAAAAGTATCAGCTCATTGTTGACTATGTGAATTTTCAAAAAATGCTCATTTCTTTACCTTCGGTTAATGTTGTGTAAGTGCTTCCTGTCCATTAATAATTATAAAAAGAAGTATTTTTTGCTTGCATATGCATATATTGGAAAGGCAGTTCTACTTAATGTTGAAACCGTGGAGTACGATAATCAGAAAACACCAAAAAGTGCTGCTCTTATTAAATTATTATTAAATAGCAATTCTATTATTTAATTTTAATCTTCTTTTGGGCAGGATTAATGGGCTGTCAAGTTATTATACTGTTATCGATTTTCAACCGGTGAAAATAAGAGAAAAATAGGTGGTACGCAAATAAGCAAAATGTTTTTAACTATTAATTTCAAAAATCTCGTGAAGAAAAAGAACAACTGATAGAAATATCATTTCATTGAACTATAACTGAAGATTTCTTGTTGACATTGGGCTGAACCGAAAAAAAGGAATTTAAAGGCATTTCAAATAAAGCTATTAAATTTTTATTGCCATTTTGTACAAACTTATTTGTGTGACCTATATTTACCAATTTTCTTCCATGTTATATTTGAAAAATAAAGACAGATTAAAATCAAAAGTGGATCCTAATTTACAGTTAAAACTAAGTGAAATTAGACTAGCCATAAACAAATTCATCTCTCTTAAACAGGCTGAAATTCCACAGCAAATTTTAGAATAAAAATATTATAACTTAAATTTTGAGAATTAAAATAGTAACCAATTTTTAATCTAATATTTTTTATGTGTGCATATTTAATACAAATAGCCAATAGGTTGTGCAAATCACAATATATATTTAGTATTTCTATTTAGAAACTAAAAAATAATCATTGTAAAGTGTAGTCTTGGTACTAAGGATTTTCAGTTTTTGTTTAAGTGGTACGTGTTAGTCAAACGGTTGAGAAAAGCTAGTATAACTCATTCATTTTTATAAGCAGAACAATTATTACCTATGTTGCCAGTATGCATTTTACATAAATACATTTGCAGTATTACTTTTATGATTCAAAAATTTAGTAATGCATTTTTTTCTATATCCCCTCTGTCATTCATAGACTGTTTTATTTTGTTATAAATATTTAAAATATAATCCAAAGTAAGAAACTTGCAAAATGATATTTTTTATATCAATGAAATTTGATAAATTTAATTTTAACATAAAGTGACATTTTTACTGCCTAATAACTGTTTTTAAAATGCAAATATTAACCACTTGCACTAAAAAGACGTGCCACGCATGTCCAGATGCTTTTGTCTCAAAGCCGCGAGTGACGTGAACACCATGTCGATAGGCTTTATCGCAAAAATGAAAATAATGTGGTGCACACGTCGCCTAACAACGAGATTGTTTATTTCTCAAGTTACTGCTCTGGATTGCACTCGCAGACGCGGAGCAGCGTAAATGAGACACTTTGCCGCTTGTTATATTGTAGAGCATGGCACGGCAACCGTGAAGTTTAGTCGTAGCGCAAATGGTTAATACTAATGTTTTAAATAAGTTTTATTAAAATAAAAAATATTATGAAGCATCATATGATTAAAATTTTTATCCTTTACAGTATGTGTTATCTCCAGTCAAACCCACACAGAAACTGGCATATGCACCAATTACGTATTCAAGATCGCCAAGAAGAATTGCTCCAGCTACAAATGCTGCTGTATCTACTGTAAATTCTGGTGCAAAAGTAGCTGCTGTTATGTGTCCAACAACAGTTACGTCAGGAATTTCTGGTGTTAAAATGTCTGTCCCTCAATCACCTACTAAGGTTATTCTTAAACCGGTCCCTCAGGTGAGTTTCTTATATTACTGTAATTTTTTTTTATCTTTGAAAATTTTGTTTCAGTTTAAATATTTATCCCCAGGGTGCTGTTGAAGCTCTCTTTTGTGTCTGTATCACATTTCAAATTGTAGTCACCAAATGTTATCACCAATGCTCCCTCAAATTTCTGAGTACCGATATACAGCTTTTTTTTTATTGCAAGAATTGTTTGTGCAGTTTTTATTTTTTGCTCTTGCTTTTATATTTAAATTAATTCTAATTTAATAACAATTACTTTTTTCAGAAACGCATATATTTTAAAAGAGTATTTATTCATTATAAAAAGCCCACCAGCAGCCGAGCGGTAAAGTCACTGAACACTGGTAGTTCGGTCCGAGGTTCGAATCCCGCAAATGGGCTGGCTGCATGGGCGTTTTCGTGGATTTCCCCATGTGTCCCCAGTTTCCTTTAGAAAGTCCTCCACGAAGGCATCCCTCCGCTTAGGCAGATAGCCCTCGAGGCTTTGCCATAATCACACACTATTCATTATAAAAAGTAATAAATTGTTATATATGTAAACATAGCAACTTTATTTACTAGTATATATATATAGCTCTAATAGTAATATCGTATACGCCCATGCAATGTCTGCACTTTTTAACTAAAATTACATCACTAGAATGCAGGTGTGGACATTACACAGATCATTCAAATGTCATGCTTTTTCTCGGGAGTAATTTTGGGTGCAAATTTCATTGCAAACAGCCAAGTTAAGTTCTAAATGGAAGAAAATGGCATAAGTAATAAAAGTATCAAATTTAAAGTTGTCTAATAGCTGCCTAAAATTTACAAACTCACTTTTTCCCTTTCACATATATAATATAAATTACCCTGCTTACGTTATCAATACTACCTCTATATTGTCACACAGGAACACAATATAGAGGCACAAATTAACCAACACTTGCAATTTTAATCTTTACTTTTTCACAAATTAAATAAGCGTTGGTTCTTTTAATATCTTGCACACATTATTAAAAAAAAAAATGTTCTGATGCACTGTATGAAAATCCATTTCGTTTCATCATTTGCCGCAATCAGCCTTGACTCCCCTTGAATTGCGATGTAAGAATGTCTTCTCATGCCACAGCAAGTGCTCTTATTTGGCACATTTCTCGTGTTACTTCATACCTTTGAGTATACTTATCACGAACATACGCAACTACTTTTTTCCTAAGTTTAGAAACTTGCATATCGAACCACGAAACACACGTCTTGTTTAGTTCTTTGCCGCCAGTTGATCATGCTGTTTGCTCCAATTTACACACTTTTCGTCCACCTTATACAGTCAAAAGTCTTTAATCCGGACTCGTCGGGACTTCGGCGATTCCGGATTATCGATTTTTCCGGCTTATAGATAATTAGTTTAAATCTGGTAAGATGGCATGCAGAAATTATAAAATTTAAAATATGAAACCGTAATTTATAAAATAATGAGCAATTATGATCTAAAGGGTATCAAAATTTACAAAAAAAGAAGCTTAATATTTATTTGTTTACTTTATTAAACATTTCTTTCAGCGTGCGCATGCATAAAGCATACCTTACGCATAGCCGAAATTAGAAAATTGCAAACCAGAAAACTATTTGATTTGTATTCGTGATATTTATAATGATGAGGAATTTGATTTAAATCATATCAAAGACGGAGTACATCGAGATTAAATACTACATTTAGTAAGGAATTATAAGCCGAATAAAATAAAAACATCTGCCCTAAAGAAACGATAGTGCTGACAAATCAACTTCCAGTTTATTGCGCGCCGCGCCGTCCCCCCCCCCCACGCAGAGCAGCGTGAAATTGATAAACAGATTTCTGAACCGTTAGATAAAAAAAAGGATATGCCTTTATCCATTTTTTATAGGAATTCGTTTTTTGTTTGATGGACATCGAAGCATACTTTTGTTTTCTAGATCCTTTGGGAGCTCCAGCATCGGAAATTCTATTTGACATAATCGAAAGTTCAAGCTTATTTTTATAAAATTGCTCTTACAGTCTGCAAAAAATAATAAGCCGGATCCAATTCGAAGATTAAGGAACAACGCAATCATCAACATTAACTGAAATAGATCATTTTAGCTTATACCGTCCGTTTTACATTAAACGCGCACACGAAAAAGTATTCTGTGCTTGTGCAGACACATATGCGCAGTCGTAAATGTCTTGCGCGCACGCGTAAAACGCCTATGGGCATGCGTCAATGCGGCGCATGCGCAGAAAGATTTTTAGCTTTGAGGTCTGGATTATAGATCATTCCGGATTATGGGTGTCCGAATTAACGACTTTTGACTGTATACTCTTGCTGCTGCTCTTTTTTCCATTTTCCTGCACAAATTCTACAACTTTCAGTTTAAAAGCCGCTGTATACCTGCTGTATTTTCACATTTCAAGCGCGCTACTTGCTAACTACACGAATTCCAAATGATATTATGAATGAAAGAGAAAGCTTGAAATATGCGAATGCTCCCAGGAGAAAGGAGGGGAAAGTAATTTCATTACAAAACACTATTTTCTGGAAGCTAGTGTGGTGAACACCTGTTTGGAACTGCCCTCATTTATTTTCACTTCTGCCGAGTGAATTTCTAGTTCCGATGTTATGACTGTAAATAATAGTTTGCTTCAGAATGCAAAGAAAGTTTCTGCTTTCCATCCTGGTGCAAACCAAACACACAATAAATGCATATTCTTTCTTTAAAGATATTTATTGACTAACGTTATTGACAAAAGGGAAAAAGGCAATGTTAAAAAAACTAAATTTTAAAGTAAGAAATTCTTTAGTTTTTGATGTGCAGACATTGTGCGGATCACTTTTTTTACATAAATTTTATCTGTAAAGTTGGGGTACATGAGCGTATGCAGTAATGTTCAGATTTTTAAAAAAATGCTATGTTTATATAAGTATATATTAAATCTTTTCTCTTCTGTCTTTAAAATGTAACGATTCAGCATATGCACGATCCAAATTTATACTGTGTTTTCACTATTTAAATGCAATTTTATTCGCATTAACGTGTCTAAGTGATGATGTTTCAAACAATTTCTGTATTTTATTGAGGGGGGTGGTGGAAAGCACAAAACTGCGTGCAAACACACAACACTGTATCAGGAATTCTAAGCATATGCGGCTGTTAATAATTTTGTGATTTTGCTGTTGAATTTTATATATCGTAAGTGCGAAGAAAGCAGTGTTTAGCAGTAAAGCTTAAAAGACAAAAAAAGAAAAGTTGTGTTAGCAGGAGTGAGTCCAAGAGTAGATCAGTAAACTGCAAGCTTAGCTACAGCATAAAAAAACCTTAACAAACTCTGTGGTGCAACATTAAAGTTTGAATATTTTCAGATTTTCTCCCTGACCCTCTTAATTGTCTTTGTTATATCTTTTTCTGTGTTTTCGATTTTTCACTTTGTATAATTTAATTATCGTGACTAACTTCCCATCTTTTAATTCATTTTTGTATATACAGGGAGCAGAAATGTTATAGTGTACAGTGCAGTTATTTGAAAACAGGTGGCAAATAAAATCATTATATGAGTCTTGTATATCTATTATTTGACTTATTTAGTTCTACGCATTGTTACAGTTGTTTTAGTTACTGTCTTTTCTCTGTTATTCTCTAAAGTGGGGGCCTTCAACCAATGGTCTGCGTGCCACGAGTGGCCTACTGAAGGTATTTTAGTGGCCCCACATTTGAAATTGAAAAGTTTTGATTTCAAGAAAAATTGCCTTGTCAGCTTTTTGTCGTAAAAAAAAATCATTTTCTCTTATTCTTGATGTTTAAAACATTTTATTGACATGCCTGATATTATTTGAGATAAAATTTTCTAAAAATGACGAGTTTTTCAAACATCTCGCTTTATCTTATGTAATATTAAAAATTTGACTATGCATAAAATCTGAATTCCATAAAAAGGGGAGATTCTTATCTTTGTTGTAAAAGTGGTTAATTTCATTCGGTCTAAAGGACTTAAACACAGACAATTTCGACAGTTCTCGAGTGATTTGGAAGCTGAATATTTTGATGTTGTGTATAACGTGGAGGTATGTTGTTGAGCCGAGGAAAGATGCTTCAGCATGTGTTTTCTTTGAAGAGTGAAATTGAACACTTTATTGAATCTAAAGAGAAATCTATTCGTGAGTTCAGTGATGAAAAATTGTAGAGAAACTTTGCATTTATTGTCGATATTACAGGTCATTTCAACTACTGCTTACTAAAAAAACATCTACTTGTTTCATAATCTTTATTACTTTGTGAAAGCTTTTGAGACAAAATTAATCCTGTGGAAAAGTAATTTGCTAAATACAAATTCCACTCACTTTCAAAAATTGTTGGAGGGTGTGAAGAACTCTACAATATGGAATTCAAATAATTTGTACAATGCATTTCAAAGTTGAAAGATGAATTCAAAAAGCAGATTTTCCGATTTTCGTGAAAATGAAATGCTCATGAGAATGTCACCATTTTCAGTGGACGTCGGAAGTATTTCACCCAAACTTCAATAAGAATTGTAAAGAACGCTCCTGAACTCTCTACTAGAAAGACCTATGCTGCTCTCGACTAGAGAGAACTTTGTTAGCACTACGAGTACTATAATTCATTTTAATACCTATTTTAAAGAACTGTGAATGGCAACGACGTAACTGAGTAATGCGCATGTGCAAAGAGGAGAAGAGACGCCTGTCAGAGGGAGTTTTGGGAAGCTCCGCAGGCGAGCTGAGGTGTGGAGACTTTGTTCGTCGAGTGATGATGAATGCCATCTTCGTTAACGTCTCTGATCGTGTCACCAGCTCGGATATCTACTATAGTTTTCTAAATGTATTAATTAAATGTTGTATCTGTGTTATGTTGTGTGAATAAAAGTGATGCATCACCACTACCAGTGTTGATTCCGTTCCCACTGAAGCATCCACGACGTCACAGACGAAAGAAATAAAAATTGGAGGTTCCACCGAGATCTGTGTGACAAGAGACCA